TCTGTCCCCTTTTTCAGAGGCAATATTTTTAGCGTCCTACTAGCTCAGAGTAAATGCCATGGTGATGCTGCTCGGTGACTCTTCTTGCCTCGCCCCTACATAATGTTAATGCCTGTGTCGTCTTTTTCTTCCATGCGATCTTTGTAACGCAATCTTCCAATTACCACGATGCACTGAGATCCCAAAACCCAGAGCTGTGTTCTTTTACCAGAAATAAAAATGCTGTGCTGTATTCTGTACGTCACGGAATCGTTTCCAAAATTATGGGCTCCAGAGCTTAATGGTGCTGCACTACATATGTTCTTTTCACATCCTCTGAATAATACTGGGATGATGAAAAAACCTAGCAGAGAGCTCGTGACTCATGCTACAACCTGCAGAAGAGAGGGTACGTAACTTGGACGCATGTTTTTGTGTCATGAGTTGGAGTTCTTGTCAGCTGGGCAGCACTTCCAGCTTTTCCATACTGGAAACCTACGGCAGAGTTTAGCTGAGTAGAACTGGTAGAGATGCCAGTCCTTGCTCAGACAAACCAGAAACCAAATTGCTTGTTGGAGTTGCACAGGAACATACCAGGAACTGCTCTTGAAAGAGGAGCAACTTTCAAGGCACTGATCTCTGAGATAGCAGGGTGTGTCCCGTGATTATGAGTTAGATACTGTCTGTGCCATGTTTTAAAAATGTACAGTGCTATGTAGATGCAAATCCTCTGGTATTTCCCCCCCTTCCCTTAAGCTCTCTCCTCTAATTGTTCCAATTGTACTTTAATTTTCATACGCTTTTGACCCTACTGCTGGTTACAATGACTGCCAGGACTGTGTGGGCTCATTTCAGCCTACAGATTCAGGAGGTTTAACCTCTCCATTAAATGTTTCAAACTCACTCCCTGTAAAATTGAAGGTGGAAAAAGAAATTTAAGTCTTTAATACAGACTCATTATTCTCTTCTCCTCAACTGTAGCACTTGTCAGATGCATTATACATGAATAAACACATTTTTAGACAGCTCTTCAGATCAAAAAGCTCACACAGCTTCCCAATGCGAACAGGATTAATCTCAGATAATTACTGTATCAATTTATGATGACACACAGATCTCATTAAACAAATTTGGGAATGGTAGCTCTCCGAAAAGGAGAGCTCTGAGAGAACACGAACCTGGTTTGTACTCAGAAGTCTGAGTTCAGTTGTTTTTCCTGCTCTCTAGTCTAGTCTATCCCTTTGTCATCCGCAGACGGCGCAGCATTCCCCAGCGAGCTGAAAGGGAGGCAGTACATGTCTTTTCTTCCTTCATTAAGGAATCCTTGGCACGGCAAGACAAAGCACTGCATATTCAAGCCCTTTAAGCCCTAAATGCCTCTTGATGTGTAAAGGACAAGAGGGCTCTCAGAGAATCTGAGCATTGTGAGTGCTGAAATCTAGATTTATGTCTGTTTGGTGGTTGTGACAGAAAGGGTGTTGCCTAGCTGGTAATCCTGCAGGGGTGCAGAGGGCAGCCTGCAGAGAATTCAGAAGCATTTGGGCTGCTGAGGACAGCATCGCTGCTCCTGGAGCAGAAGAGCATGTCCTGCTCAGTGCTTCCTCTTGCTCAAAGTCCATCCACCCTTTTGCAACTCATAAAGCATCGTGTCAATTGAAGCTCCCCAAGTCTTTCTATTTTAGGCAGTCTCTGCTAAGTCTGGAGCTGCAATTTCATTTTTGCCTTCCAACCTTCTGCTAATTGCAGCCTTCCAACCTTTTGTTAACACCTGCCTAATCAGACACGTCCAGCCTGCCAGTCAAATCCAGCCTGCGGATGGTGTGGGGAGGAGAAAGCAGAGGACACCCCCTTCCCCCTTTGCTGCCATCCATAAAGACAGATGCTTGGGGGTTCTGCTTCTAAGCTGTTTGTAGGTATATTTGTTCGGGAGGAACGTATAATAATAACCAAAACAATAGGTACTAAGGGGAAAAAATGCAATTGAAAAAGCTAATAAAACCCACTCAGTTATGTGGAATACCAGCTGTGTTACCCTGTTTTATCACTCTTCATACCTGGGAATCTCCCAGCAGTGCAGTAAGTGAAATAACTTTCATTTTGCACCTCCCACCTGGAGCTCAGCTATTACAAGCAAGAACTTTCTTCTTCTCTACGAAGTGGCTTGAAAGCCCATTTTCTGTACCCCTGCTTCCCCCAGGCAGTCTGCCTTGCAGGAGGGCAGCCTGATAAATCAGCACCAAGTTTGGTGCTGATGTGCTGCAGTCAGCTGACGGCTCGGAGGCAAGATGAAGGTTGCTCGGGCTTTAATTGAAGGCTCGACAAGAACCGTAGGCGGGCCTGCAGCTTGTATTGCAGCAGTGCGTGCAGGCTCCTTGCTGCTCAGTAAATCCACAGCATGTGAACTCGAAAGCCGAAGGATGTCTTGAAATCCTTGTGGTTGGAACAAATAAGGAGAGCTGCCGTACTGTAAATGTAAATATATTTCCAGTTTTTGTTTCGGTGCAAAACACCAGAAAAGCAAGGCGTGAATGAAGTAGTAGTAAGTCTCTGATCTCCCCACAAATTCTTTCTCTGCAGACAAAGAGTCGCTGTGAGCTGACATTTAGCTCAGCTAGACGTTTGTTCAGTTCCGTACACAGTAAGAACGCAGCAGCTTTCTAAATAACCTGTGTGCATTATAGTAGCTTTCTAATTATGTAACGGGAATTTCTTCTTGGGCTTTTCTCTTTTGCATCTACAGACGTGGCAGAAATGTGCTCTGCTCTGGCCAGAAGGGACGAGCTGTTGGATTCAAAACCGTTCTGGTAGCCCTGGCCACCTTGCTAAACACAGAAATCTAATTTCACGGGAGCTAGCAGACTGGGCGTGCAATTAAATTGGCATCACCAGAGTTGGTTAATAATGACACATACCAGCATTAATTTTGCAGGTGATTATTAGATTGTTTTTTAATTGTCACTCCGGGGAACTACTTGTCCAGGGTGCTTTGTTCTGAAGATGCGTGATAAGAACCCCTGGCTGCAGAGACTTTATTCCAGGACTAAAATTAAATCCCTGTTAGTGTGTGGTGGATTAATGGTCATGGAAAGTGTTCTTCCCCAATCAGTACCCAGCACATCATTGCTGCACAGTAACTGGAGTGCTGCACTGACGCTTTCAGACCTGATGCTTTCTTTTTTTAGAGATATGACTTTAGAAACGAGAAAGGAAAAAAAAGGGGGGAGTTTGAGATAAAGCAGACTTCGTGTAGTCCCAGCATAGCCTCTATTTTTAGCAGGAGGCTTTGCTCTCACTTGCATGGGTTCTTTAACTGCTTAGGCAACTGGTGTTGGAAGGCTCGACTGGATGAGCCTGGGAGAGGGCTGGGAAGGAATGCAAATCAGGTCAGCAAACATTTTCATCTAATTGTACTAAGTGAAACAATAGCTGAAGCTGCATTGTCCAGCTCTCCTTCCCCCAGCACAAAAGCTTTTCAGGAAGGGCAGTCGCCTTGTGGGACGCTGTGTCCTGGGAGAAAGCACATGCCCTGGCTTTATGGCAGACAGTGTCCTTATAATTCTTTGATCTGATTTGGCTGTGGCTTTTCAGAGTAAATCTGAATCCTCCTATTCTCAGCTGCTAAGGTGACATTGGAGCCAGCAGAAAGTTGTAGGGGGCCTATTAGTTCTCCCTATTTAGAATCAAAAATGAGCCATGGACAGATGAGGAGACGAGTGTTAGTTTATCACTTAAAAGCTTATCCTGGAGTTTTGAAACGTTTGCTGTGAAACTGCCCGATGTGCTATTCAGTAAATTTTAATGCTCGGGAGACGCGCTCGTCATCTCGACTAAAAGGGTAAAGCCTTAGCAGCGCTCCTTCTATGGCCTGGAGAGATTACTTCATTCTGTACACGCATACCATCGTCCTCAAATAAACACAGCCGCTTTTGTCAGGGTGTGTGTGCACGCACACTTATATTCTAATGAAGGCAACTCTGTACAGTGTGTGAAGAATGACTTCTGGCTTTGTGTAGGTGCCAACGGCAGCTCAGTGCCTCGGTCCAGAGTAGTGGGCAGTGGTTCGAAAGGGATCGACGTTAACAGTTTTAGCGTGAACAAATGTGATGGGCAGCACTGCATTTGGAAGATGAATGAATCTGCCACTGCAATTTTTGAAGGGTCTGAAGCATCTTGTAAAGTCATCCGTGTTTGATTTTGACACTTTTAAAACCCGCACAGTTGCCTCACGAAGATTTTTTCGGAATATTCACACTTCTGTGTAACAGTATTTCTGTGTGCAGCTGAGAGGATTCAAAAAAAAAAGAAAAAGTGCTTCGTTTTGTTTTTTACCCTCTTTTTCCACTTCCTGCCTTATTTTGTAGGTGGCCGCATCTGCTCGTTCTCCCCCTGCATTGAACAAGTCCAGAGAACCTGCCTAGCAATGGAGGAATATGGTTTCACAGAGATTAACACCTTGGAAATTCTGCTCCGAGTGTACAACGTAAGGACAATTAGCCTGCAAATCCCTGACCTTGGAAAAGCAGCCGAGGATAATTCTAGCGCTGGCTTTGACAGCAGCAACCCATCAAACCAAGGTAGCCCCTGCACTAATCTGCAGCAAGGAACTGTGCAGTTCAAAAGCGGCGTGCCACAGAAGGAAATGGTCGGTCACACCGGGTACCTGACCTTTGCCACCAAGAGCCTCTTTTAGTCCATGGCGAGTCTGTGCAGTTCGGAGTGCTTTGTGTGTTTGTGTGTGTTTGCTGTTTTCATGGTTCCTTCTTGTAGGGCATCCAAGTTTTTACTTGTCAGGGAATTCCATATATAGTCAGATTTGGATGGAATATGCTTTGTTTAAATAGCACACAAGCATTAAGCAGAGCAGCATTAAGGGAATGCTGGAACTCTGGAACCGTGCTCCACTTGCCATCAGAAAGGAGATAAATTAATAGGGAAGGGCCATTCACTGGAATCTGCAGAATAAAGATCCCTCCTGATAAGAAAGTAAAACAAACAGTGTACCAATCACAAATAAACTGGGATTTTTTTCCTCCTCTTTATTGAATTACTTTCCTCGTTTTATGTTTTTATTTTTTCTGAGCACCACTAGATACTTTTTTAAAAAAAAAAGATCTTCTCTTTAACACACTTTCACTAACTAGTGTGTGCATTTTTCTTAGGAATGTGAAAGTGCCTCCTTGCTTCGTTTTAGATATGAAAGTTGCAAGGTCATGTGTTTGCCAGCATGGCTGATCACAGAATCAGTGTTTCCTTGGAGCAGAGTTCAGCTGCACAGAGGGTTATTGGCAGCGCTCAGGAGCACAGCCTCTTACTCCGTTCTGGCATCTGCAAATCATTTCCGTTACACAGAGGTCAAATAAGCGTGCTAATTGTTGGATTTGGATTAAAATAGTAGATTGTGATCGATTTGTAGTAGAAATTTGGACCTGGATTTGCACTGTAATCTTCTAATAGATCATCAGCTGTCATTGTTGATGAGTCCACTGTGAAAATTCACTGAATGGCTGGTTAATGTTACCCAAACAGCTTTTTGTAAGCAGTGTGGCTGAGGTTCAGTTTGCTTGGTGTTATTTGTGCATTATGGTGTGTTATATTCCTGCGGCTGAATGACAAAAGTGTTGCTTTCGGCAGGATTTCTGTCTCCAAATTGCAACAATAATGCAAACTTAGTAAAATCATCAACCAGCTTTATTTAGTAAGGTTTTAGACTTTTACTCTTCCATTTACTCTTCAGTCTTCCATATAAGGCTGGTGGGTGTGATGAACTTTTTGAATGCTGGATTACATTTTATATTCATGGAGTAAAATAATTATGCAAATATATGAAGTTCCTTGTTTCTTTCTTTTTAATGAATTCACAAATATTTTTGTTCCAGCCTCTATTTGGCTGTGCTTTGCATTTGGTACCTGAATTTGGTGTAGGAAAAGTAACTGTTCACAAACTGCTGCCTGAACATTTGAACCTGATATCCCTCCCCCATTCCCGACAAAAATAAACAAAGCTAAGCTTTTAACGTGTTATAGCAGAATGCTAATCCATAACGGTTTAAAGAAAGCTCAACCGATCACGACAGCAAAGATAAACTGCTGAGCAGATTAAAGGCAGAAAGCAATTCTGTTGGAGTAAATCAGTTATGTAAGCAGGCCTGCTATTGTCGCTTTTCTCCAGAAATAATGTGCAAGTTCTGCTTCTACTGCTGTGGAGGTCCTCCAGGAAGGCATGCAGTGAACTGCTAACACGGAGCTGTTTGGGAGCTGTGTTATGTGTACACGTGTGCACCTTTGGGTGTGCTTAAACTGCAACCACTGAAGTAATACTAAAGTACTCAGGTAAGCCAGAAGAAAGCATGAGGAAATGCAAAGTTGGTGCTACCAGAGCATTCTTAACTCACCTGAAGGTCATCCTCACTTTCTAACAAGTGCGGTCCCCAAGCTTCACTAGGGATAATTCCAGCCTTAGGCTTGATTCCTTTTTCCGACAGACTTTATTTTAAAATAGTGTAACATTAAGGACTAAAGAGGAACAAAGTCACGTTTCTGTCTTACAAATAGACATGGAATGGAAACACTGATGCATCTTCATGGAGCTTGAAACAAGGCTGGTGCTTCTTTGCTACAAAGCCCAATTCAAAACCCCTTGAAATAAACCATTGACTTTGCACGGTCCCATATTGATTTGATCCCTGCTGAGGAAGGGCAAGCATTGCGTAAGAGGAGGATTTAATTTCTGTCTTTGCAATATTAAAAAGGCTTCTGTGTTTTTGTTGCCAATCAGGGCCACGGCCAGCACCACACCGCTTCCTGCTGTTGCTTTGTTGTAGGGTCGCAGGGAGGACCCCACGCTGGCCAGCATGGGCGGCACTGTGCTGCCAGCACCCCGCTGTCTAATTCTGCTTAGGATCACCCGTGTTTTACATTCTGCCTCTAATTGCTGCCAAAAGTGGTAAATCAGAAGTTTTTCAGTGGGTTTTTCCTGCCACACTGGGGGAATCTGCCTGGGCCACGCTTTCAAAGACTCATTTCTCCTTTTAATGCATTTTAGTCCAGTCTAGAAGGAAACATCTCTTCTTCCTGACCTGACACAGTTCACTCACACGTCGTCAGGCCTCACATTTTCACTGCTGGCTCTGCGCCTGGATCCCTCAGCTGTTGTGGACAAGCACCAATACACGTCTCTGCTTGACAGCCAGGTTCGACTTGTCCCGTTGTGCTCCGTGCCCTACAAGCCAGCAGTCTCAGGCACCTTGCAACCTACAAGGCAAACAGTCATGACTAAGACGAGGCTTGTGAAACACTGAGAGGCCTGCTGTTGTTCGCTGTTTAGCTGTGCTTTAATTAAAGTATTGCAGATCTCTATCTCGTTGTGGTTGTTTCCTGCTTACCTGTTAGCACACAACCTTTCCTCTGCTCAGAAATCCTGCTGGAGAACCTTAAAGGGATAAAGTAGCAAAAATGCTCTGAACTTCCTCTTTTCTCAGTGTCCTGCTCTGAGCTCTCTGTAGGTGCTGTGGGATACGTGATGGTGAGGAGATGGCTCTTGCTGGGAAGCGTTCCAGAGATGAGGGTTCTGGTTCGCTTGCTCCCTCGAGAGCACATCTGTGCTCCATTAGTCCTGGTGAGCGGGATGACTGCGGAAGTCAGGGTGACCCAGGGAGGCAGGGGGCTTGGAGATGCAGCGAGCCTCGCAAACACCACCACGCACCCCAGCAGAGCCTGCGTCACTCAGGTGCACAAGTGCCCCGGGCAGCCCACGTCTTCGTGCCTTGCCAGCTTCCTTCTGAACACAGACTGGGACAAATCTGAGCTGCTGCACTGCTGCAAGGTGGTGGTGAGTGCTCCGAGCTCACCTCTGGTGCCAGCGGGAGCAGGGCAGGCTCAGGAAAGGAGGGCTGAGAAAAAATTGCTGGGCTCTCAGAGGCCGTTGCAGGGCTCCACCTCGGCTCCTGCTTGCGCAAGGATGAGCGAGGCGCCATGAGAGCGAAGTGGGAGAGTCAGCATTTCATAACCATGATGTTACACCAAAGGTACGTGCAGCTGTGAGCTCCTCGCGGGGAGGAAAGGGGGTTACTCCGCTACCAGCAAGCTCTGTCTGTGTCACCATGAGGGAAAGCGTTCACATGCTGCTGGCCTCCTGAGTGCTCCTGAACAACTGTGCTGTTTGGATGCCAAAACACAGGAGCCAGATTGTGTTATTTCCTTTCTCCCTACACGACGGCTTCTGAACTGGAATGAATCAGCCTCAGTATCAGTGCAGGGAACAAATAAACCTTGAATGAAATTGCCACACAAAAACAATCCTCCTCACTGGTATTTACCTGCATATCTCCCCCAGGAGCTCCACGTCCCCTTGGTGGCTGCTGAGGACACGCTGTTCTCTGCAGATGGGCAGCAGCTTTCAACTCCTAGGTCAGCTGGCTGATACACTGATAGAAATAAATGCAGAAGGCTGTGCTGGCCTGTGGGAGTGTTTAATTGTGCCTCCATGTTCCTCACCTGGCTCCTAAGGCAGGCAGCCTGCTGGGACGTGGGCCCTTCCCTTCCAACTCAGAGCTAGCAGAGCATGCACACATGATCTCTGCCTGGTGCTGCAAGGTGACAGAGCTCACAGCCAGGTTTTTGGCAGAGGCAGGCATTCCTCTCGTTCAAGCTGCTGAGACCTCAGCCTGGAGTTATTTCAGTGGGGGCTGGGGGATGTTGATGCTGAATATCATGCTCCTTTCTGGTGCTGGTGAGGGAGATTTGCACAAATGGTTCCCCTGGAGCTGCAGGGAAGTATTCCCACGGGGTCTGGACAGCTGCAGGAAATGTCAGAAACCCAGAGCAGGTGATTTCAGAGATCCCAGAGGTGCTGGCTGAGCACCCAAAGCCAGCTAAGTGCAGAAGGAGCTTTCTCCATCTTTCCCCAGGTAGCACCGATACTGACTCAGCACGAAGCCCGTGTGCATGACTGGTCCTGGTCAGCCAGCAGAAAACATTGCACAATCAACCTCCCTCCAGGTGCAGTGCAGGACAGGGAAGTCTACGGGGGTGCTTCCTCCCTCCCATTGCTTTGGGGGGCTCTCATCCCCCTCCTTCAGCGGTACTTGAGCAGAGGCTACCCCCAATGCAGGTGTGTGGGACTCGGGGTGGCTGGTCCCTGGGCACGTGGGATGAGAGGTTGTGATGCCAGAACATCCTGAGCCAGGTGTTCTTTTATTGCACGTGGGGGTGAGGGAGGTGATGAGACTATAGGTCCTTTTTATGTTTGGCCCCCTGTGCCCTTAGAAATTGTCCATGCAGCGCTATTGCAAAATATTATTAAAAAAAAATAAAAAATCAGGAGCTGCCTATTTGTAGGAATCGGCTGTATCCAAGAACCAAATCTGCATAGAGGAAGAAAAGGAAAGACCAGCAGCAAGGTAGGAAATGGCTTCTTGGAAAAGGCTTCCTGCACTTTGACAATGAAGAGGCAATTTCCCAGAAGGCTGCAGATGTTCCCCTTAAAAATCGTGGCTCAGAAATGCTCATTAATGACAGCTGTAATCTTGCATTTTGCTGGCTCAGTTTAATCAGCCTGTTCTGACAAGGCATGCAGGCGGTGGCATTGCTGGGGTCTAGAACTGATGGAGTGAAAAGGAGGGAGAGCAAAGGAGGTTTCTAAAGGCTCTGCAGTCAGCTCAACCTGTTGGACTGCATGTGCTTTGTGTGACATGTTACAAGAGTTGCACTGAGGTCTGAATTTACTTTGGGTCTCAAATCTTAGCAAAATAAACAGTACGGTTATATGGGTTATATGATGTGGATACTACAGGGAAGAATCACCCACTTCAATATACTGCTGGGCACGAGCTGGGCAGAAGAAAGAGGTTTGATTGCCCGCGTTGAGAAATCAGGGCTGGCAAAGAAACCGGTCGCAGTCTCTGTGTGTTCTCTTACTGTGTTTTTGTGTCCTCTGTCAAATCCGGTGGAAATATTTAAGAAGGATCATTCATTTTTAATGTTCTCTCGGTGGCCTTAGCAGTACAGTGAAGAGATAAAAGCGCCCTTTTCCAGTGGAGAGAGCAGAAATTCACGTGGTTACAGCTGATTACCAGCCTGCGGACACATCAGGGCGAGGATGACGGCACCGGGCTCTTTGAGGTTTCCTACACAGACCATAAACGGGGCCGTGTGCCCCTTGGATGGGTTGTAAGCACTGCACCAAGAGGCCCGGCTGGGCTGACAGCGAGAGCTCTCCAGCCAAGCAGGCCAAGAGCAAAACCACCGTGAAATGTTGGGCAGCACCACGCAGTGTCAGCCACCCAGGGCTCCCTCCTGGCCCGGGCACCGCAGTCCTTCCTCCTGTGCATTGCGGTACTCGGCACAAAGCTCCCCCAAAGCAGAGCTGTTCCTGCTCTCGCAGCAACACGTGGCTGCCCACCAGCTCCTGCAGTACCCGGGTGCTGCAGGGCTGGGGAACCTTCCCCGTGTCACAGCTCCTCACCAAGCCAGAGCACGCAGCCGTGGTAGCGCTTAATGATTTTCTGAACCTTGCCTTCATTCTACTCCATAGCCATTCTCATTAACTCGCTGCATTAATTTTATACAGCTTAAACTGGCAGCCAGTCCCTCTGAAGCAGAGAAGTGGTATTTTTAAATCTATATTCTGTCTATAAATACATCTGCCTCACAGAAATCAGCTGTTTGTGGCTGATCTTATAGCAGAGAGGATGACTCAAAGAGGCTTACGTGCTGCAATGTTTTCATCAGAGCTGGAAAAAAAAAAAAGAAAAAAGAAAAAAGAAAAAAAAAAAGCACCCTAAATTCCCTGTGAATTAGATGGGTCCATGACTACGGACAGATCCTGTACTTCTTCCCAGCCAGCCAAAGTGTGGCACTGGTTTCGGGTGGTCTGTACCCAACACAGTAAGACTAGCCGTCACATTTTGGTACGCTTCCCTAGAAAACCAGCCAGCATTTGATTTCCTCAAGTAAAAATTAACAAGGCAGAACTACCGCGTAGACTGCTAATTACTGCAAACGCCACGCAGCTCGTGGTTTCCTCCCCTCCCTGCCCCACTTTGTTGCAGAACACGTACCAGCCGTTGTATTGAATTGTACACCCAGAAAATAATATTAAAAGGACATGAGCGAGGCTGCAGAGCCAGCCCTGCAGAAGCAGGGGGCTCTAATGGAATTAAGGCGCTCCCTGAAGCCATTAGCTGGGAGATGAAGGCTCGGTGATGGCTTCGGGGACGTGCTGGTTTAGGTGAGGGGAAAGGGGAACGACCCCATCTGAAAATAAGAAGATGGGTGTTTGGGTACCAGGTGCTGGGATGTGGCTGGCACAGCACGGAGAGGGCCGGGGCTCCTGGAGAGCACCTGCAGCTCCTCCTCCGAGCTGCTCGAAGCCTCCTGGCCGAGCGTGCCCAAGGGTAGACAAGCCCGGAGCTGATGCCCATCCTCCCTCTGTACCTTCCTGGTTATGACAGCCTAAAGCCCCGTGACACCTCCCAAAACACGTAATGGCTGCTGGGTGCAAGCCGGATTAAAGTCGCAGTTGTTTCTGACCACAGCAATTAGATTTCTATTGCAAAACTCCTGTGCTGCTCAGCAGCGCCTTTGCCCACTTGCGAGATGGGAGGTTTTCATTACGACTTTGTTTCCTAAACATGTGAAAGCCTTTGAAAAGCAGAGGGCTTGCTCAGCTGTGTCCATAAACATTCAGATTACGCCTGCCTTGTTTTGTACCCTGTATTTATCCTCCGAGCGTGCTTGTTGCTGTTTAGCCAAAGCAACGATCCTGGGAGACCGGGGATGGGAGAAGCCCCCTACCTGCAGCCAAACCTCTCAGCCCCCGCTCCCAAACTTGTGATGAACAAAAGGCCGGGCACTGAAATCCCTTGTTGAAGCTCCTTTCTTCCCCAAAAAAGAGGGGGGAACCCTGATATGACAAGAAGGGCCCCTTGCATTGCACTGATGTGCGGTGGGGATGGAGGGAGCGTGGCAGCCCCCTTGGGAAGATGCTGGAGATGAATGACAAAAAATCTTTATCCTTCCAAGAGCCGGTCCCCAGCAGAGCCAGGCTCCCTGTCTGAGAGCAGCTATTCATCTAAATGGGGATAAATGGGGATGTCCTACACCCACACCTCTCTGCCTGCTCACCTGCACAGGGCTTGGGCTCCGCAAGGCAGCTGGAGCAACCCAAAGTCCAACTCTCGCACTCGGTTTGGAAGGGAAAAAAAAAAAAAGCAGTAAACATACACTGCAATTTGCATGAATATTTTTCAACACCCAAGGCTAAAATCAGTCTTTATGTGCTTGGAATTTATTTAAAATAATTGCTATTTATGCATTTTTTTGGCTTTTTACCAATCTAATCAGCATAATTTGACTGTGCTGGAACAAATCTAAAAGACTCCAGAAGTGCTCTGCAGATCGTGCAGATTAAACATGAACTAATTAGTAGATTTCTGGATCTCTAAGTCCACAGCTTTGGAAAAGGCTGACAATGCCCATCAGTGTTCCCATGAGGAGAGAGAGACAAAATGCAGATGCACCAGAAAAATGGCTACAGATGGAAATATGTGTGAGAATTTTTTCTTTGTGAAGGGAAAAAAAAAAAAAAGATATTGAGCAACAGCGATTTATTTATGCTTTTTCCCTAAACATTTCAAGAATAAAGACCTTTTTCTGACTCCAGTTCAATCTTCAGCATGGTTTGGTAGGAAGTAGTAGACATAAACTGCCGTGGGCTAAAAGGGAAAACCTCGCAGAAGCTGTGAAGACGAACATTGAATTCACCCGCAAGTCAGTCCAAGCGCATCTGAAAGCTATGACGTCGGTGAAAAGGAAAAACTATGACTATTGCACTGGGAATGAACCCAAAAATCACTTTGCCAATATGTGAAGGCTTCATTACTCTGAAAGTTTTCTGAAAGTTTCCTCAGGAGACAATAAATGTTCCAGGAGATGATGAAGAACAATAACAGCTGCTCCGAAGATCACTGCAAACAATGGAAAGTCCCCAGTCGATCCAGTCAAGTCTTGAACCAAGTCCAAGATTCACAGAATTTCAGAGAAGAGGTAAACCAAGCCATCTGACTGCAACAGTGGCATTAGCACAAGAAGTAAACATGACCCCATCATTCAAGATCCATCCAACAACTTCCACCAACAGCCGGGCACCTACAAATTTGTACTGGAAATGCAGGTTTGGTGCCGGTCCCGGAGGATGCTGCTCCCCAGAGTCGTGTTCGAAGGAATAGCGTGGGCGTGCATGGGAAGCTCTCTCCAGAATCAGACCCGGCACGTGCAGCGTGACAGCATTTGCTAAATCCCAGCTGAATTTCGGAGGCGTCTTGGTGCTCCTGCTTGGCCAGCCACGTGCGGGCAAGGTGCTGTCCTGCTCCCACCACCACTGGTTTTACAGGCAGCCTCCTTCTCGAGCTCACTGGCACTGAGCTGTGCTGCAATTTGCTCTGACCAGCTCCCCACAGACTCCATCAGAGCCTGCCAGGGGGGTAGCGTGGGCAATCAGTTTCGCCCAAGCTTCAGCAGAAGGACAAATTCCTCTTTCACCTCACCAGGAGCCAGAACAAAACCAGTCAGCGGAGCTCCGGGCTGCCCAGATCAGGGTGGTTTTGTGCTGTGTACTACGTAGCTGGGGAATGTCAGCAGGAACTAACCATAGCCTAATAATATCTACTTCACTTTCATATCTGTTTCCTCCCCATGCTCCCCCCTCCAAAAAAAAAAAAAAAAAAAAAAAGTATTTGGAAAGATAGACCAGCTCTTCCTGCAGGCTTGTTCCCCTTCATGCGGATTCAAGGCGGTTTCAGAAAATGGCCACACTTCTCTGTGAGCAGACTTTTAACTACAGAGCTAGTTCTTTAACAGGAAAACCAAGCTTAAGATTAAATAAAAATTAACCCTTTTTGTAGGCCTTTCACTAGGTACACACTTTGTCACTTCTCAGAAAACTCTATGCTCCTTTATCTGAAAGATGGTTGTGTCGCATCATACACTTTTGGCCAGATACAACAAATACATCTCAAAGTCGTCTGCATAAACCTTGTGCAAACACCCATACAATCAGCACGCTCCTTCCCCAAATTTCTGCCCCTGCCCCATGCAACTGCAGCAGCTGAAATCAGGCTTTTTCCACTGCGTGGATTAAGCCTGTTTGCAGGCTGAGCAGAGATTCTGGATCCTGGACCTCGAACTGAAAATCCCTCTGGAATTCATCTCTGTTTATGCAAAGAGCCATTTAGAAATACAGCAAAGGGCCCAAAATCCCCTCTCATGTTATTTTCAAGCATAAGCTCCAGCAGCTCCAAAGCATTAATTTAAACTTCGCCCCCAGCTTCTCGTCTGGGGCTCATTTTAAGGAGTCCTTTCAAGCCTTTGTCCCTCCTCGGGCAGTGCCCTGGCTGCTCGGTGCCGTTCGGGCAGGGACAGCAGGGCCACAAGGTGCTCTCGTGGGGGTGGCACCGTGGGGACAAATTTCCCAATGCCTGCAAATCACCTCACGGCCTTGTGCATCCTCATAAGTCGGTTTGTGCCCCGAAAGGCGTGTTGGCACTTTGGCACATGCGAGGGCAATGCAATCAGCAGCCTCGACTTTATCTCCTTAATCACCCCGATAGCCCTGCCTGGCCCGTCATGCGCTGCGACTTCAGGCGTTAATTAAGAGTGGCTTCTGCTTTAAAGGTTTTGTCTGGGGGAAACAAAGCGTTGTACCTTCCACACAAATAAATGCACTCCGTTGTGAGCACTCGCTAGCAAAGCAAAGGATGGGCAGCGAGGGGAGGAAGGATGCTTCCCATCCAGGCAGTGAATCCCTCCTGCTGCACAGGCAGTTTCTCATGAACCCAAAGCAAAGAAATGAAGGAAAATGTGAATACCTGTGCAGGAAATCTTCATTTGATGGAGCAGGGCCAGCATCCCTGTTTCTGCTGCTGGACCATGCTGTTTGACCCTATAAACCCTACCAAAACCAGCACTGAGCCCCTTGATTTCCACTGAGATGATCAGACCCAGGAAGTCCAACCACAGATTTTGGTGCTCTTGACTGTGTGGTGGGCACAAACCCCTGGTGTCCCAGCTGCCCGGGGAGGTATTCAAATGGTTGGCCAACAGTGCTGAGTTATTGCTCGAATGTTCCCAGGTCTTTTGCTCTCTGATGCTTCAATTTAACTAGCAAAGTGTTTGGTTACTTTCTGCAGATCTCCATAAATTATAGCCACTTTTCAGTCTAAATACCAAGAATCTCAAACACTCTTCCTTACAGCACACAGAGTTAAATGAAAACATCTCTTCCTTAGAGCTAGCACTGATAGAGGTCTTAATGAGTTTTTATTCATAAAAATGCTTTGTTTTCAAAAGCTTAATTAGCAGTTTTTAATGTTTTTTTTTGTTGTTGTGGTGGTGTTTTTTTTTTTTTTTCATCTCCTCAGAATTGCAGCTTTCTTTTCTTCCACCTTCCTCCAAAGTCCTTGGCTCTTAGATGATGCAGCCTTTCACCTACCTCGCCCCAAGGCAAGTCCAACAAACTGCCACACAGCAGCCATGAGGAAATACCAGCAGAGAATGTTACTTTTAATGAGAAGCAGGGAAAAAGCCCAGAGAAGAAGGTGAAAGCTAGCTTGCACTACCTGTGGAAGCCATTTGCTGCCATGGAACCCCTGAAAATCATACCCAGGGCACTCAACTCATACAAACCCCTTTTTGGGCTTTCTCTCTAGCTTCTTCTAAGGTTCAGTCCAGCATCCTGTGATGTGGACAACTTGCTACACCCCCATGACGTCCCCCAGCATTCTGCCTGCCTGCAAAAAGTTGAGGAATTGGCTTTCTCAGCTTTTTGGTTTTTGGTTTTTGTTTTTTTTTTCAAAGCAAAAACTGTCCTTTTACCTGTAGGTTTTAATGTGTTATAATGTCACTCCTGTGCTCTCAGACAACCTGCTGGGTGCCTTTGCTAAGCAACAGTAGTCTCCTAACGGCGATAAGATCTTTATAAACCTGTTATCCTTGTTAAACGAAGAGGACTTTGATTTTACAGCAACATTGCATCTGGTGAAAACTTTATTTGCAGACAGCCCTTTCCCTTCAGCCTACTAGAAAACTCTATCCTTGACCTTCAAAGGCTTTTGAATTCGTGTGCAGCAAAAAAAAAAAGCAAGGTGAGCACCTGACTTCCAGTGTTTGCTAGGTCTGTCACTGCCAGCCCCACGTCAGCTCATAACCTTCAGCCCCAGCGGCTGGCACTTGTTCTACCTGCTCCCGAGCTCTTTGAAATGCCTTCCAGCCCCACCAACAACGGCAAGACCTGCGATAGAGGGAGACTAAAGGTTGATGTGGGATGGCATAGGCACTAGGGTATTTCTCCTGTCCTCTGCCAGTACTACAGGAACCTATTTCCTCATCTATCAGGATGTATGCAAAAAGGGAAAATCTCTCTGCCTTATGCAAATACTTCCTATCAGCAGATAAATCCACCTGCACCACCAGGCACGT